CGTTGTCAACAGCCTTGATCATCTTACAGTTGGCAGTGAGATTTAGCTCAGTTTCACCCTCAATTTTGACGAAGCAAAATTGAGAGAAAGAGAGCACCCTGGGGGGATTCCCCTCCCCCACCTTTCGAGAGGACTTTTCGCCTCGCTATTTAGAGTGCCCCTATGCCGCATGGACACTATACATTTACAAACATCCATGTCTTCTCCGGGATTCGAACCCGCTCTCTTCGGCACAGCAGTCAGCAACGCTAACCACTATACTGGTTGGATAGCTATTTATAATATCAATGTATGTATAATTCTTCAATAAATATGTTTGAATGTTTTTTAACAAAGCACAAAATGTTTGCATATTTAGACAAAAGATATTTTTTTTTTATTTTTTCATATTATTTTGTTAATAATGCTTTATTTTTAATATTAATCATAAGCAATGTCCCTTTTATGCCGTCACTACATAAAGGCGCTCGCTAGACATTTGCACGACTGCGCCGATTACGCTCGGCGCGGACCTGCGTATCAAAACACAATTTGACGGCCAGTGTTCTCAATACAGCTCTAAAATTACGTTTACAGTCGTCGAAGAACTACTATAAACACGCTGACACAATCAGCGATACAGCCTTCACACTATCAGTCTATAACGGTGGAGACAGCTTCACGGCAAAGCACCAGAGTACAGCTCCCGACTCTGCTCGGTCGTTCTCGGAACTCCACGTACTCTCGAGACTCTCCATGCCTCAACTCGCGATGCATTCGACGATACACCAGCAGGGTTTATATAGCTTTTAGCTTGTTTTCGAGAACATTCTGGGCTAAACCGTTAGGAATTCGTTCCAGAAGGTTCTCCATCTGTCCATGGAATGTCGCCAATTTTGTCGCCAATTGGGCGATTTCTTGCCAAATGTGACAACATTGCCTTCATTTGCCATTTTAGGCAACCCTAAACCTGCTTTGCGGGAAAAGCCATCTTACCATACCTAGAGATTTTCTAATAATATTGGCGTGGGTACTTGTTCGCTATGATTGAATGCAGAAGTCCAATGAAAAGTGAATAAAAGTTATTATTATTACAACAAATAAACAAAATGCTTAAAGTTTCTCAGATATTCGTATAATATCCCAAAATCTCACAGTAGTTGTCTTTTAAACTACACAAACGTTTCAAAAGAAACTTAATTTAAAAACAGAGAAACGTAGAGAAGCTAATCCGATTTCACCGCGAATTCGTACAGTAAACAAGCATTTTAAAACAAACTCATAAAACACTAATGAATTGTTCCAGTTCCAAGTTACACTTATGTCGAGTTATCAAGCATTCTGCTTGATGTGTTCCGGCTGTCATCAGTGTTTGCTTTGGGCGATGAAAAGAGAATAAGTTCGAAGTGTGATCCAGAAGGGCAGGAAGCTAATGGCGAAGGGACGTGACAGTTTGTCAAGTAGGCTGCAGCTACTTTCATTGGTTGCGAGTCTTCTGGGAATACCTCGCTAAATTGAATTAAATACAGTTAAAAATATATGAAAGTAGAAATAGTAAAATAACTAATAAACAGTCTTCTAAATTATTTACATATGCATATTAGTCCAAGTACGTCAGGAGATAAACACAAGGCACGGGAAAGAGCTCGTAACTAAGATGAGGCTCAGACGCTTGCTGCTTGAGTTTGGTGTCACTGAAAGTGATAACTATCGTGAAATTATTTAATGACACTTAAGTGGAAAGTTTTTGATTTTCCTTAATCAGTACAGCACAAGGCCTCAGAAACTATCTTCGGCAAGTATTTCGATGAAACAAGTTAAAGTTCATAAGATTGTTGACATTACCGCACCCATTTGAAGAAACTTGCGAATATAATTGATTTAGTTGTTCAATTTCATGTCTCTATGCAATACTTCGTTCTGACATAATAGTGGGGCATTTGTGCTAATCCTAAGGAAAATGAATGAGAAGTGTTTCCTCTTTATAAGCTTTTTAAATCACACGAACATAGTTGGGTATTCTCGAAAATCTGTGCAATTACGAAATATCTATTATTAAATGCTTTGCTCCTCATTTTTTTTTTACGGAGTAGCTTTTCTTCAAATAAGTAGCGGTGCAATAATGCACGGGGAAATGAAACAATTTATAACAATTCTATTAAAAATAACAAACTAAATAAATCAATACAAAACCGTAACAATATAAACATTATATTTTTATAGTAATAGGTAATAGGATTCTTTTTCTAGCGAGAGGAATGAAAAAGGACTCTTCAAATTAATCCTTTTTGAAACACTAAATTGCTAACCAGGAAAGCCGTAGATTATTTTTATAATTTGAAGAGTAAAATTAATCATTAGGAAACAGAATCTAGAGTGTATTTAATAGATATTATTCCAAACTGAAGAATTGTACAAAAAGTTATAAATAAAAAGGAATAAGATAGAATGCAGCCTACGGTGTTGGGCGCTTTGCATAAAGCTGGGAGTACAGTAGTTAAAATATGGCAGACGGAATGGAACGGTGGCAGTGTGTGACGAGGGGGGGGGGGGGAAATTATAGAGTTTTTAACTAAATTACTAATTAAATTTTTGATAATAAGAGTTTATTTATTATATTTAACGATCATAATTTATTTTATTAGTTAGTTTAATTAACTGAAGCACACTGTATTTATATTAGCTCATAATGCTAGTAAATTTATTTAAGGAAATGTAGAATAATCCGTACCTCACATTGGACATTAAACAAATAGATAAGAAAAAAGTTTGGAAAAAAGCTAAAGTTAAAAAAAAAATATATAGCAAAATCGATTAACACGAAATTGAGAGGACTGAAATATTTTTTCGTGTTTAAAGGATATTGAAAAAAATTAAAAAAAAAAAAAAAAAAAACATACATTCACACAAATTTCGTATACTACATTTTAGAAGAAAAGACAAGAGCTTCCACAAAAGTTATTATAATTTAGATGTAATCCTAAAAAAAAAAAAAAAAAAAAAAAAAAAAAAAAAAAAAAAAAGAACCTTTTGTTTTATTTTCTCAATTTTTAGCTTAATAATTTTAATATTGAAAGATGGCAAATGTTAAATCAAATAGCAAAAAACTATGGCAACAGTAAGTAAATAGATTGGTATTTTCAGATAGCATTAAAAATTGTTTGAACAACATTTTGAATTTTAAAATGATTTTTGAATATATATGGCCGTTAATGTCAAATATTGTAATTGGAGCAGCACATTACATGAGTAATCTGATCCGGATTGTTAGTAAACCTTTACGACTGGTTAGACGGTATGTATATATGCAGTATTTAATAAAAATCAACGAAAAAAAATCCAGCTTAATTAATAAAATTTTCAACGTTTTAATTGATTAATATTACTGAAATTGAATATCGATTAAACCATCATACAACATTTAAAAGAATTCGAATATTATTAAATTCAAAACTTTAAAATACGTATATAGAATATAATTAACATTAAAACTATGGACAATAATTATCTCAATTTCTGAAATAGTGTATTAATTTTTTAACAAAGTGAAGTAACAATTATAAATAAAAGAAAAATATGTACTTACATTTTTTTGAGTGTTTAACCTGTTGTTTATTGATAAGTCCACAATAAAAATCAAAATAATTAGATAATATCTTTGAAGACATCTTTGAAGGAATTCGAATATAAATTAAATTTTAAAACGGCGCGGAAATGCCACAATTGTCAGTAACCAATCAGGGTGATTACAGCTCGTTATGCCAAATATTCTATAACCAATCGAGAGCTTATTACTCACGGCTAGAATTAAAATTATTTAAAAATTCACATAATACATCATTTTAAAAAAAATGCAAAATTAAATTGTTTTTAATATTAAGAGCCATAAAAATGTTTAAAACATTAGATTAAATTTATACATATTAAACGAATTACTTTTAAAGTAAGGTGACGTCATTGATTACTCATCATAAGATAATATAAAAACAATAAAATTTTTATTTCAAATAAAATGCAAAAATTAAATTGATTTTAATATTTAAAAGCATAAAATAATTTTTAAACACGGAATTTGCACAAAAACGCAATATTTTTAAATAAAATGACAAAAAAGTATCGTTACCATAAATAATTATCCAAAATGGGCCATAAGCCTCCAAATCCGTGCAAACCGTCTACCAAAGTAGCCCCTCAAATGTCAACAAATTGTTTCAATGTTGTCCATTTGTTATAATTTCACCATTGGAATGTGCGTTTAAATATTGTGCATACTTTTCACGATTGTCCTCATTTCGATGACGGGGAACAGGAAGCAGCATTATTCATTTCATTTTCGTCCCCGTCGGTATCTGATCAATGACACTTTTTGATCATTTTATTTTGAACAAACTCCAAACGGTCTTTTGTTTTATTTTCTTCAATTTTATCTTTATAATTTGAATATTGAAAGATGGTAATGTTACTTATCAAATGGCAACAGTAATGTAAAATAGATTGGTATTTTCAGATACATTAAAATTGTTGAACAACATTTTGAAATTATTAAAAGAGTTTTGAATATTTATGCGTAATGTCAATATTGTTATTGGAAGCAGCACATAACAGAGTAATCTTGATCGGATATGTTAGTAAACCTTTACGACTGGTTAGATACTATACCGTTTTCTAGGCCTAAAAAAAATTTTGCCCGGGATTTTTCTGATGGAATTCTCGCTGCTGAACTTATTAAATACTTTTTTCCTTCAATGGTAGAGATGCATAATTATCCTACTACGAATTCGGTCGAGCAGAAACGTATCAACTGGGCAACATTGAACCAGAAAGTACTGAGGAAACTTGATTTTCCTCTTTCAGATGTTACAATAAGTGACTTGGCAAATGCAAAGAGAGAAACAACAGAATATGTCTTAAGTACTTTAAGGGGTAAAATAGATTCTTACATGAAGAGAAAAGCAGAAGTCTTCAAGAAGAAGAAAGAAGCAACAGAACACATTCCGAAAAGCTTTTTTGAAGATTCCTTACTGGGAGAAAATACAACTAAGAAACTTACAAGTATTCAAATGGAAGAATTTGCTTCGCAAATCAGTGCAAACACAGAAAAAGCTAAAAGTAAAGAACTATGGACACTTTGTAATGCAGATTTAGAGTACGTCCCAAGAGACCTTTATGAGCAGAAAGTGCAAGAACTTTTGGAAAGAGAAGAAACAATTCAAATTTTAAAAGCAAGAGTTCAACGACTGCAAAATACTCTTAACTTAAAAAATGTAACTATACAACGACAGCAGCAATTGTTAGAAAGACTGAAACCATCGGAAGACAGAAATGACGGTAGGAGAATTCCACAGGAAAATCACTCAAAAAATAAAATAAAATAAATATATCAAAAATGCCTTTACTTCCCTTCTAAATATTATTAAAAGTTTTATTTAAATTTTCTACTTCGTTACTTTTTTTTTTTTTTTTCTTTTGCAATAATGATTTCAGCTTAACAGAGACAATGGTTAAGAAATTTTCTACAACACTTCTTTAATATATTGTTGTGTGGTGTGTGTATCTGTAACGAAACCAAAAGTAGAATGTACGTACACTGAGACGTTGAAACGCAGAAAATACCATTAGTAAGGCACGTATATGGCATATTGAAGATGAGAATTCTGATTGCGTAGAATGTTAAAATTTTGAATCGTTAATGACTAGGTAACTTGACAGTTGAGGCGGATTAAATTGCATTTTTATTTAAATTCACATTTGTGGCCACTGCTTACTTGGCACTCTAATCGTGCCTACTCCAGAAAATTTACATTTTTGATACTGTCGATACTGTTGCAATAGGAAGAAAGCACAGCGAAAAAGTCATTACAGGAATAGAGGCAGAAGCTAAAGTGCACAGTTATCCAATACGGAAGCTCTCGAAAAGAAGGTTTTGGTTTAGGTTAGAAAGGTTTCAGTTCTCAAAATTTTGAGTTTAAGTTCCGAATTACCCATGTCATCAGCGTTGCGCAGGCCATGCAAGATTTATCTAGAATTTATCTAGAAATGACGCCATCCAGAGAAATTATTACAATTTTTAGAATAGAGAAGGAGAATTAAAGGGTTACCGTTAGTTTATAATTTTAATTTGCATATTTTTTACCTGATATATATATATCAGGTAAAATAAAATATATATAATACGTATTACAGTATCAAATGTACTTTAAGCAATCGCTTTTGAACTTTCCTCTTCTTTGAAATTATATCTATACGTATGTGTGGATGTATACGCTGATATCTATGTGTGCGTGTGTGTAAGATATAACAAAATACGATGGCTGCACTAAGAAACGATCTCCCTAAGTTCATCTGTTCTCCCAAATTAGAGAACTTTTCAGGTTACATAACAACTTCAAATTAACCAATCACAGCTCAACTATACTTATGCACATACTTAGTATAAATACTGCTAGCAAGCAACTACGTCATTCCCTTTTTTCCCGACTTCTGCCATGCAGACAACTCCCACGCTGCTATGTTTTCTTGCCTGAAATGACGCGGTATCCTTTTATCTGTGTACATAGAAATTATTGTATTTAACTATGATTGAATAAATATCTTGTCTACAAAAATGATCTGATCTGAATTGTCATGGAAAAAAAGTATGTTTCAAATCGGCCACGTTCTGAAAGTTTTTCGTTTATGCCACCGTCTGTCTAATTACACACAGTCGTGATGGCTGAGTGAAAAAGGCAGGAATAAAATTAGCTGTTATAATAATTATTAGTTGAAAAAACTAAGTTCGGCGAATCACCATCTTTATTTTTAGGCACATCAAAATCGTTTTTTTTATAGACAATACACTTTTTGATCATAAGCAATTATAATATTTTTTATATACACAGGTAAAAAAAGATACGACGTCTTTTCAGGCAGGAAAGCGTAAGCAGCATAGAGATGTTTGCATGGCAGAAGTCAGGAAAAAAGGAAAGCTTTATTGCTCGAGACCAGTATTTATACTATGTAAGCGCATATGTAAAGGTAAGGCCGCGATTGGTTAGTTTTAGGTTTTAGTTCCTTTTTTCAAGCAATGTTATGCAATTTGGAAAGATCTCGAATTTGGGAGAAAGGATGAACTTAGGGGGAGAACATAAAATCTAGAACAGTTAATTTTGAGGTTGCCAGTTATTTCTTAACATAGCCATTATATTCCTCCCTTCAAGGGAAAGGTTGGGGGTATCTTTTGGGAGAAAAAACATTAGTGTATTAGCGAAGCAAGATGAAGGAAAGGCATGAGGAAGCATCAAAGACATAGTCTGCAGGTTTTCCTATGCCCCTTCATTGTTCATGAATTTTCTCATATATAGATTATAAAATACTTAAATAATTTACAATTATTTTAACAAGAATATAATCTCTAAATGAAACTAAGCAATAAATTAATACAAATATAATTTTTTAAAGTCCTCAAATTCTTTGAAGAAATGTCCACTGAAAATTTTCGTAAAGTCTCTTGACGAAAATAGTTCCACAAAGTAAATGTTCAATAAAGGTCCTTTAAATTTTTCTTGATGAAAATATTTCCATAAATCTGCCAATTGTTCATGTGGAAATTTAACACACAATTTATGATTAATTGAGCAAGTTCTTCTTATTGTAGAAAATACATATTTAATACAACAGAAACTTTAATATAAAAACATAATGAGATACTGCAATACTCAATAACATAATAACACTTTGACGATTACTTGCTATGTCTTCTCCAACAAAATCAGCGTACCAGCTTGCTTATGGTTCGGGGATACTTCAGTATAACAATCAAAAAACCTCTATTCCTTAGAAAAAAGGTAACTGGTATTTGGCATTGTAAAATTTTCAAAGTTTTTGTTTAAATCTTTCATATTAATTAATAAAATACAACAATATATAAAATTAAAACTGAAATTTAAGCCAAATATCTCGTATAATCAAGTTAAAGTCTTTTAAATTTTGCAAAAATATAATTGAATATTACCCTACAATAAAAAGAAAGGAATGAAAAATTTTTTTTAAAATTATGTAGAATGTATGCGTTTGCGTGTGTGTGTATGTGTGGTAGCACTTGTGTGCTAAGCTATGGCCAGAGGATCGTGGTTGGTAAAGAAAATAGAAGTAACCCAAGTCAGTTTCATAACCATAGCTGAATCTCCTAACAAACAAACAAACAAACAAAAAAATTGGGGGTATTAGGAGGGCTCCTAGGGGAACAACGGGCTTGTGCTATCGCTTCTTGTATCCTCCCTAAAGTATGCAAGGAGTAATACCCATAGCGTAAAAACTCATGTCGAGAAAAAATAAAACATGCCGTCCTTGAATGAGAATCTGATATTGAATCCATATTTTCAAAATCTGAGGTTATTTTTCCTTTCCTCATCTCATGGGATATGGGAGACGTATACAACAAATTTTGAACGAAAAAACTCCGAGAAGAAGGAAAGGCAGGATAGGAAAGGAGCCAGACTTGGAAAGGTCAAAATCAGGTAAAATAACTTGTCTTAGTTAGGTTTTAAAGTCTTTATCAGGTTTTAAAATGTCATAATCGGGAAAAAAATTTTTAAGTGGAATTGAGAAAACTAAAATAAATTAATTTTGCACAGACACGGGGTTTGACTATTTCTAAAAGCTTATTTAAATTCACTATCTAGATTAAAAGGTCTCAATCTGGTTGAGTGAACAATTTCTGATTTCTTTTTAGTAAGAGGATTAGGTTTATCTATTCTAAAAGTAACTTCAGAATAAACTAGAAGAGAAACACGCTAATGTGACAGTCAAAATCGTAAAAACAACCTTGCATTTAGCGTAAGTATAATGAAACACTCAATCGATTTCGAGGGCAGCTAAAGGTCCCTCCTCATCAGGAGAAAGAAATACCTAGAAAGAAGAAAATAAAGGTACTACCAGAAGGTATAAAAATCCGTTCTGTGGTTGCTTTCCATTATTTGAAGTTCAGATTTTGAGCGTGAAGGTGCATTTGCCCCTCGCTCCCTATTTTAACTTCGCTAATTTTTCTTGTCCTTTATGCTTGATCAGATAGCCTGGCTCAGTAAAAGTAGGCGGCCAGTGCAACTCTGATTAAAAATCCAGTTATAATCACTTGCAGTGCTGATAAGGACCACGTGTTTTTGAGACTCCTTCTCCTTTATTTTCTTCTTTCTAGGTATTTCTTTCTCCTGATGAGGAGGGACCTTTAGCTGCCCTCGAAATCGATTGAGTGTTTCATTATACTTACGCTAAATACAAGGTTGTTTTTACGATTTTTATTAACTTCAGAATATTGTTTTAAAATCTTGTAAGGACCTGACAAAGGAAAAGAAAGTCTACAGGCGTAAGGATACCTCATATAATCAAAATTCTTCTTACATTACTAAATCACCTATTTTAAAGTTACTGAGTTCATAAGGGGCATCAATATCTTTCTTTATTTACCTTGTGATAATCATCAGGCCTTTTTTAGGCAATTTTTCTAGCTTCTTCAGTTGGTGGATATACCTCTTGACTTTTAAGTAGAGGATGATAAGGCAATTTTCCACACATTAAATAAGATGGTGGGAATTTTGTTACAGAATGTTTTGTATTATTATATTCTTCAGTAAATTGAGATACAAGTTTTATCCATGCAATATTACCTCGATAAGAATTTAATTTACATTTTATCCTAGTTATAATTCTTTGATTAACGCATTCAAGATTACCATTAATTTGAGGTCCATTAGCAGTAGTTAATAATTGTTTTACATTATGATTTCTTAAAAACGGGCTTAAATGTTGAAGAAGGAAAAGCAACATTTCTATCATTTAAAGTTTTCTTTGGTACTTCAATTTAAAAAATCTGTCTTAAACAACAATTTATGTTAGTATCAGTTGTTACACTTTTAGAAGCAAAAATCCATACATAACGAGTACCATGATCTATAATAATGTGAATGTACTTTTTAGTAGAATTATAATAGTAAACCACCAACAGTATCAACAGGTAATATTTCAAAAGGCTCACTAACAGATGGTAAAGCTTGCATTAAACCAAATCTCTTTTGTTTACTTTTCTTATTAAAGTAACATACTTCACAATTTTTACAATATTTTTTAACATCTTGAACAATTCCTGACCAATAAATAGTATTGAGGAGTTAAAATAAATTTAACACACCAGTATGCCCGAATTCTACATGAACGTTTTGAAGTAATTTAGTACGAAAACATATTAGTATTACTATTTTGTATAATCCTTGTTTTTTAATAGTTAACACGTTATTAATTTTCTTATACTTACATACACCATCTAAATTTTGATGTTATTTAATTTCAGCAATGAGGGCACGCCAATATCCCCGAATTCTACATGAGCTTTTTGAAGTAATTTAGTACGAAAACATATTAGTATTACTATTTTGTATAACCTTAGATTTTTAA